CAGGTCAACTCGTGGGACGACGTGGCGAAGTAATGTACGATGTTCGCGTTAGTAGGCAAGTATGGGTTCGTCATGCCAACCAACTGCGACCGCGGTTTGCAAGGATCCCAGAGACACGCGACTCCAAAGGATTTGATTCCAATGAATTGTTATGCACTTTGCACCTCGACCGGACAGGATACGCAACTCGTGGAGCGGACTGGAAATGAACACCGACTAAGGCCACAACGGGTAGGAAGATGCGTGCAACCCTTTCAGGTCGATCCCCGAGTGAAAAACTATACAACTACCGGTCTAACTATTTCAACAAAGGGGAGGTGTTACGTCTCTAGCAGCTCACTGTGTGGAAAATCGCACTGTCTAAGAACCAAGTCGAATTGGCGCCACTGATTCAGACCAAATCATGTAACTTGCATAGAAAAACAGAATTTCACACAGACCAAAGTCAAATGCGCACAGAAACGATACAAATTGACTTATTCGGGAAGGTAAGTGCGCAATTTCCCCAAGTAACCGTGTGCTTTGTATCAGAACAGTCTCAGTTACAAGCAGACTAGTGCTTTTCTGTGTTGCAGAACATTTGTTCCTATCGCTTGTTTCATAATACTCACACGTCCCGTGATTCTTTGAGATCGGTAAATGCAAACTAGCACACAGCCGTGATTTGGACTGTATCGGTGTGTTTTCATTTCCACGTCGGCCCGTTCTGTCAACACAGAAAGGGGTGTCTTTTGACTCGCGTGGCGCAATCTAAGAAGCTGCTAAGTCGAACCCCTGAGGACACAACACAAGTTTCCTGTCACTGATTGCAAGAAGACCCCTCAAGGCGAACCGCCATCAGCATGTTGGCAGTGCGGAGACTAGGATTTTGTTAGATGGTGTCCATTCAATAAACATCTGCCAGAAATGTCGTAAACTTTGGCACAGAGGAACTCATTGCAGATTGGAGCCCACTTTCAGGCCGGTTCATGATGCACGAAAGACATCCTACCGTCGTTTAGCGCAGAGAGGAACGCCAAATTTACTGACGATGTCAGAGATCGTAGAAAGTACATAAACATAAACATCAATGGAAGACAGGTGTGTTTGCAGATCGATACTGCCTCAGACATTACGGTCATATCCGAAAGGCTATGGAGAATTGTCAGGTCACCAGAAACCAAACCCAGTCGGCAGACGAAAACTGCATCAAGTCCTAGGTTGAAATCACTTGGTCAAGTCGACTGTGAGTGCCGTTATGCCGAATTTACCGCATGGAGAACGATTTTCGTCACTAGCCATCAGAATTTGAATCTTCTGTTTCTTGACTAGATCGAGCGTTTCAACCTACTTGATGCTCCGATCTACAACATTTGTGCAAGTATCCAGATACCCAAGCCAACAGCTAAAACTCTAGCCATCGAGCGCCTGCTGGGGAAATATACAACAGTCTTTCGTGAAGGACTCGGTAAGTGCACCAGAGTACAAGCTTTAGTATCCCTTAAACCTGATGTTGTTCCATTTTTTCGTAAGAGACGCCCTGTACCTTCCGCAGTAACATCAATGATTGACCAGGAGCTTGATCGGTTAGAGAGAGCAGGGGTTATCCACCCTGTGAACTACTCGTCTTGGGCGGCGCCCATTGTTGTGGTCAAAAAGCCAAACAGTCAGATTCGAATACTGGTCGATTTCTCGACGGATCTAAATGCTGAATCGAACGTTCATAAGTATCCTTTACCGCTCCCAAATGATTTGTTCTCAAAATTGTATGGTGGTAAATGTTTCCCAAAGCTGGGTCTCTCTGATGCATACCTGCAGATAGAGGTACATGACGCTTCATGAAAATTACTCACCATAAATACGCCTCGAGGCTTGTACTTGGATCACCATCTCCCGTTTTGTGAAGTGTACATTCTTTATGTACACGATTACGTTTCTCGTCTTTGTAATCGATAGCAACGGCAGGCGTCCAGACCCAGCGAACATCAGGGCAATCAAGAAGATTCCGCCGCCCTAAGATGTTTTGAGATTAAGATGCTTCCTAGGACTCATAAACCATTACAGCCCGTTACTACCACACGTGCAACGCTTGCGTGGTCCACTCAATGACATGCTGACCAAGGATAAACGCTGGAACTGGTCCGAAGAAGGCCAGAGCTGCTGACACATTACCACCTTACTTTGGAGATTGTGGTGGCGGCAGACGCCTCGAACTATGGCATTGGTGCAGTCATAACCCATAAGTTCGCAAATGGTTCATAAAAGAAAATTGCACATGAAGCCAGATCACTGGCTCCCGCAGAGCGACATTATATCCAGATAGAGTAAGAAGCCCTGGCGATAGTCTTCGCTTTAAAGAAATTTTACAAAATGCTATATGGAAAGAAGCTTACACTTCTTACTGACTATAAACCGCTGTTAACAATTTTCAGAGCACACTCAGGCATCCCTGTCTATACGGAGAACAGGTTGCAGCGGTGAGCTACTACATTACTCGGCTACGACTTTACGGTGAAGCACATTTCTACCAAAGACATTGGTAAGACTGATGCACCTTCCAGGCTATTGGGAAGCCAGCAACACCAGCAAGAAGAATCTATCCTTGCAGCGATCTCTCTTTAATCAGAAGTGAACCGGGTATTGTTGGAAACGCTCAGAGAGCTTTCGGTTACTTTTCAGATGATACGTGATGCATAAATGCGGGATCCTGTCCTACAACAAGTGGGTATATTTCATACTACACAGTGGCCGAGGGACAACCTAGATGGGGGATGGAAAGGTTTATGTTGGAGGAAAGACATATCATCCAGCGTCAATGGATGTTTACTTTTGGCGGAAAGTATTGTTATTCCCAGGGAGCTTCGCCAAAGAATTCTGACACAGTTTCATCGTGGACACCCTGGCATTAACAGAATGGAAATGATTGCGCGGAGTTACGTTTACTGGTCTAATATTGGCTCGGAGCTGGAACAACTAGCGAAATCGTGTCCGAAATGTGCGGTTGTAAGCAAGGCACCCAGGAAAGCGGAATTGTCTTCTGGACCGTTCTCAAAGAAACCGTGGCAGCGAGTATACGCGGATTTCTTTGGTTCCATGAGTGGACAACAGTATCTCATCGTTGTTCATTACTTTAATAAGTGGTCCAAAGTGTTCTGCATGGAGCGCACAACCAGTGGCGCAACAATTGGCCTACTGAGAAGACGTTTTGCCCAGCATGGAATACCAGAGACTCTGGTTACTGACAATGACCCTCACTTCGCATCTTTGCAGTTCACCGAATGCTGTACGCAGAACGGTATCACGCACCTACGCTCGGTGCCGTTCCACCCGCCGTCCATTGAGCAAGCTGAACGCTTCGTTAATACCATTAAACGGTTGCTGCTGAAGATGAGGCGGAGGGAACTACCGAAGAGATATTGGATGTTTTGATTTTACTGCACAGCAACTCTGAACCTCCAGGTGCCAAATCAGCTGTCCCCAGCAGAAGCGCTGAGGGGTATAAAACTTCGTACTCCGAATTCGTAGGTTGTTCTGAAGCCTATCGCCCCGCAGGAGAGGAACGCGAGAATGGAAAATTACTTCACTCTGCGCCCCCGGATGCAAGTACATCTATTTCACCCAGGACCGCATGTTTTAGTCGGAGACTGTTGTTCTGGTGGACCACAGGCTCGATCGTTTGCAGACTTGGACAAGCACTGTATACATTTCGAGTGCGTGCCATGATTTGGACCAGACAGCAAACCAGCTGCGGCCTACCAACATTCAGACAAGTGCCAGTGGACGATCGCTGCTACTGGATAATCTGCTGGACAATTTCATCATACATCGTGGAACTCAGGTGCGACCTAATGAGCCTTGTCCGGTGACCACAGAATGAACAAGCTTGCAGCCACGACGATGGAGACCTGTGGTCAAAATGCAGTTGGATCACAGAAGGAAGTCATAGGTCACTTTTCGCGAGGGACGTGTTACAGGAGGTCGTCCGTAGCATCCTTCGAAGCTAGCTCTCAGTCTGAAGCGGCCCGGAGAAGGTTGATCGTATGCCGCTTGTAGCTAATTGGCTAGCCAATGAAAGTAAGCTAATGGCATAGTTTTACCTTGTAGTGAACCAATCAGAATGATCTGTCCTGAAGCTTTCCAGTAAGTTCATTATTCGAACAACCAACAAGCGATTTTTTGTGCATCTAGTAGTTGTTGTAGTCAGGAATTTCCAATTAGGTTTTTCATCGACTATTTATTTTGACCCCATATTTTGGCTGTACATAGTGTCTTCCGGGTGCTCAGCCGGAAGCCTTTGCCTTCTGATTTGGGAAGTGACTGCATCGGTTATCCGTACTGTCAGCGGAAACGCATCACTTACGTTGGCTTCCTCGGCGTGCATTATGTGACATTGTTGCACGAAGTTGGACGAAACCGCGAGGTGGCCATAGAGGTATGCAAAAGCTGACTGAGTGACTTGGTTAGGCTGGTGCATGCTTTGTTCTAGGCTGGGGGCCTCGGGATGGTCCACATCAATGTTTAGCGATTGTGTCAGACATGACACAATCAGCGGCGGTCCTGCATTCAGTTTCTTGCATCTGGTTCTTGATTCTCGTTCCATTCTGAATAGTTGAACGCACCTCCTTGCTTCCATTTTCCTCAAATTCTCTTTGCGTTCACTCCCACTTTCTAGCCGTTGTTATTTATCGTTATTCTTACCATGTGAGTCGTGGCAACTGGATGAACCGCACTTCGGTGCGCGGTACATAGTTATTCAGCTTAACTGAACTGTTTGGGTTTTTTCTTTGAGAGTTCAAGGAGCATCCATAACTAGTTGTGCGAGATATTGGCTTCATGATTTTGGTCTTAAGTGAGTGCTTTACGTGCATCGCTCCCCAAACTTTTGGTGTCAGTTCTACTTTTTGCCTATACTGTTTGCATTCACGCATACTCCGCTGGTTCCTTTGCGCTTTTTACTTGCTGATCATATGTTTTGTTGAATTTAACACACCTTACGCTTCCGTTTCTTTTTTCGTAAACAGAACGCGAAACAGTGGGTGGAAATCAAAGAATGTGCACTGTAACTGAGGTTCGCGAACAAACGCATTCTTTTAGGAGGCTTATAAGTTCCTTGTTGGCATATATCATTGCCGTGTGTGCTTTATCGTTTCGTGCTATTTTATGTCTTTTTATCGTTGCCAACTCACGAAGTTCTCTATTATCCGAAGTCTTTCCATCTCATCTTTGCTCACGTCTTGTTCTACGGTGTGGCTACAGCAAGTTGCTGAGGATTTGTCTATCCACATATCCCGACTTTTGTTATTTAGGATGTCGGGGTTCGTCGCGGTATCTTTTCGCGACGCAAATTTTTATAAGCAATTCATTAAGCGTGCCTACCGATCAACTCCTCAGAGCATCCATTTCATGGTTCATATGGCGAGCACCTTCTATTACGTGTAGCTTATTCGTCCAGTGGACTGGTGTCAATAAGTTTCTTTGCCCAGTGGCTTATTGGAATGGATTACAGCCATCAGCTAATATGTACCAGGTTCCACATCTAACTCAATCTGTCCTTACTCGAGGAGTCAAAACAGGGATGAGGCTAGTGGATTTCATTGTTGGCGTTTATAGACGCCGAAACTCTCCGCTTCGGTTGCGGTCACAGTGATCGAAATGGCAGAAGCTTGCTTCAAGGCAATCCGTAGCCTTAATCGAGACTGCTTGCCGCAATTTGGACACACCACGGGTATTTCAACATTCAAAAACGAGCTTCCAACAGCTTTGTCCGTCGAGTCAATTGCGGAGCCCTGACTTAGTGACCAAGGCGTAAGCCGTTAACCACTGTGTCGGGTTTCCCTCTCACCTCAGACTATTTTTACCTGAAGAGTCCAAATTAACACGAACCCGGTCGTGGAATTCAATGTTGCATGAAGGCACACTATGATTTTGATTCCGGTCCTCGTTTTTTCAGACGTAGTGCGGCACGCACTGTGATCCTTCACATCTCTACTTATCGTGTTGGATGCTGATGAGTAAAAGTTCCTCACATTGATCTGAATGTCTAATGAACATGATTCTCATTTCGCATCGTCCCCTAAGCAGCATCGCTCGTGCCGGATGCATCAGTTTGTCCGCAATGATCAGGTGCTCAACTGGGTGCTAAGCGATGTTGCGATGATCATCAAACGAGGCCAAATACCATGCGTCATCTTGCTCATATGGTGCTCGTGCTTGCTGTTACGAAACTCAGCTCTCCTAATAGCGATCTAGTTTTTGAGATTTTCTCATCACATGTCCGTCACAATCTTTTCCCCTTCTGTGCTTCGCGTAGACCTCCATTTGGTTGGGATTCCTTCTTATTAACTTAGCTTAACCTCGGGGAATGCTGATCTTCAGTAATCCAAAAATTCCCATTTAATAGAATGAACCAGGGGAGGCTGATTCTGTCAAGCATTCTTTACTCAGAATCTGCCCCCCTTTGTTCATCCTTCTTATTAGTTGATTGTGCATTTTGAACGTTGCGCGATGATCAGCTCTGTAAGCTTTCCACTGCAAACTCGTTTTTCATGGGTTTCGAGGATCTTAATTGGGGGGTGGCAAATATTACTCACGTTAGCGAGACAGCTTACCGAGACCGTCGTTCCAGATCTGTGATTATCATTAGCGGAAGGGAATGTCGGCTTACTGAAACCATTTCACATTGGTATCACCTGCTCACTTTCTACTTGGATGAGGTTTACCGGATCAGGGGGAGTGCAGTGCCCGAGTAGGCTATCGTTGACTTGGTAGTGGTAATTGAACTTTATTGGCTTCGACACTACAAATTTCTCTCTGCCGGCTGTGGCGTTCGAGATGCACTACGTGTTTGGCACTGACGGAACGTTCGCTGTCTCCTGTCCAACTGTGACTTTCTTATGTTTTGTATGACGTTTCTATGGGATGAGATTGTTTTTACTATGAGCCGTAAAAGGCTCGAGAAGGCTGTTTGGCTTATGCTGCCTTATCAGCGCCTAATTGCTCGCTGCTTGCTTCACTTTGGTATTGATAAGATGTTGATGCGTTGCTTCTGCCTGTTTGCTTTTGCATTTCTTTTATTTGGTTCTCCATTTCCCATCCTTCCGTACTTTAAGAGCGACCTAAAAATATAAAGCGCTGGTGTACCACCATTGATGATACTAAAGGGACGGAATTCCCATGTCTTCGTTTGACATGCTGTGTTCCAACAGTTTTCGTTGAATTTTTTTTAAACATTTGTATGTCTTGGCCTGACTCATTCCCCTAATTTTCATTCAGCAATCCAGTCTGAGTTTGCTTTCCTTGGTTCTGTTTGCATGTAGCATTCATTTCACTTAGAAACATTGTTAAGATATTATGGTATCGTTCTGGCTCCGGTGCGTTGTTTGCTCTTCCTCTTAATCACGATGTTAAATTTGACTTTTTACTCGGTACGCGGTTTCAATTATCCATTTTAGCCTGGGCATGCGGAGTCTTTTCCCCTGCAAGGAGGCAGTAAATCTGCCCGCAAGAAGACTAGTAAATCGACTTTGTCAAGTTTATGTGACAGCGATCCTTCCTGTCTTATCGACCCTGTCACTTTCGAAAAGCTTTCTGGAAGTCACGAGTCTAATCACGCAGTCATTTCTAAGAAGATTCACGCAAACCTTTGTACACAATTCTTCTCAAGGTGGCCCTTCTATTTAAGGTACGTTGCTTTAATTTACTCTTCCAAACCTTATACACTCATGAAGTCCATATAGTTTTTTTGCTATCTGCGTTGGCTGCTTTTGTTTGACCGCAAGCTGTCGCACCGCATATCTTCGTGCCATGTGAAGAGATAATAGGACAGCTCTCATTCGTCCGCTCCCAAGCCAGTTGTTGGTACTTAAGCATCCTGTTTACGCTCCAATTGACTTGTGCTTGCATTCATCAACTAATGCTCATAACCGACATCTTGTAGTCTTTTTCTCTGTTGCCTGCCTTATGCTCCGTTTTTCCTCACATCGTAGTAAGTGATCCATACTCTGGTGCTTCGCGATCGTCCAGAGCAATGTATACTGATGTGGAGTGCCCATCACACACGCATTCGGCTAGGAGGTCCAGTGCTGCGATTGCGGAGCATGCGTACGTAGCTTACTTTACACAGTCAGTGGGGTACTCCGGTTGTCTGTAATGTCATGTCCTCATTGCTTTTTATCCCCTTGTAATTTGCCTAGTTTGACTTCACTTATCGTTGTACTTTTATAGGTTCCCACCCGCCTGATTCCACCACTTTTTTGCAAGCCTTGAGATATTGCTCCTGGCTGTTGGTTGCGGCGGTATATATATATATATATATATATATATATATATATATATATATATCCCCATGCTGAGGCTGATGTTGCTTTCTTGATGCTTCTTCACCGCAGTTGGGCTAAGCAAACTTACACTTAAACCAACTCTTTTTAAGCCGGATAAATTGCATTCCGCTTTATTTGCTTTGTTCTCCCTACCTAAATAATCTTCTATTAACTGGCCACGTTGCTTTCGCTAATTGCGCTTATCTCCGGTAACTTTGTGGCATTTTTAAGTAACTTGTGGACATTCTTTCCTTATCGCGGATTCATTGCTAACCAACGTACTTCATATGCTAATTTAGCGAAAAGTTACGCTACCGTATCTGTATGCATTACTGGATTTATTTCATCTTGTCGTTTCAAGTGATTGGCTGTTGCTTGATATCCCCGGTATGGCTCCTTGATGTGTATGTTGACAAGGTGCCTACCTGTCTATTACCCACTACCTCGTTCATACCAGCTCCAGGAGACAGTTAGTCGTTTCTGCAGGGGACGAGGGTGCACGGTCCTTGTGGCCATGCTAGGCTCGAAGAGCGGTTAATATAGAAGCAAATGTTGATACCTCAAGTTGTTCATTTGGTGGTCTGAGTATAGGTATTTCGTATAGAATCTCGTTTGATGATGACAAATGTGTCGTCCACGTACCGGATCCAGAATTTTGTTTTGCTTAACGGTATTGTCCATCGCAATGAGGCTGGACCTCACCGTGGTGCGATGGTTTGGGTGCCTCAGTGATCCATTGAGCTATACTGGGTGGTGCTTTTGCACCTTCAGAGCCACTCATACCAGATTGGTCAATGGTTAGAGGCAGGACAAACTCAGCCTCCTGGTCCTCCAGGTTGGGGGTTGGAATGAGGGTGGCTCCTTATTCCTTAAAACGGACTCCTTGTAGTTCATTGCCAAATCCGCTGCCTTGCGGCCAGGTTTTTGAACCAAAGGCTTTGGTTGAGAACCCAAATCGTTCTCCTGTCTAGGCCTGGGCAACCTGACAGTATCCTGCCCACGCAATACAATGAATCCTTCCCAAAACAAATTTCTGATGCTCTGGCCACCACAGAGGATAATCAACGTTGCCCTATCTGCTGCATCGAGCAGGGTGGATAGGGGTTTGGATGCTACTACTCAAGCCTTCCCATCTTCTTATTCCCCTTCTTGCGCTTTTTCACCCTTATCGTCCCGTTCCAGCTTTACTTTTATCCCCCCTGTTTTCAACCCCCGAATTCTCGGCCCTCCCCCACCTTGCTTCGATAGTTGCTTGTCTTTTAGTTTCAACTCACACGTGAACGCAGAGCGTCGTTCCTGCACTGTCAACAGGCCCATGTCCAAGCAAGCGGCCCATTCCAGTTCAGCGGCTTCCATTTGGAGCCCTCGATCCTCCTTCAGACTGGCATGCCTCAATGTTCGCACATTGCTTCAGATCGGTCAACGGGCAGCACTTGCCCGAACATTAGAGACCCTCTCGATCGATGTCTGCTGCTTATCGGAGACCTGCCTGCAAGACTCCAGCTCTGTACTCACTCTGCGATCCCCTTCAGGTGACACTAGCAGCACTTTCTCATTGCGCCTATCCGGTGACGATGCAGCTTCGGGCACCGGCCAAGCCGGTGTTGGTATTGCCCTGAGTCCCCGGGCTGAAGCTACTCTGGTTGATTGGATTCCAATCAGTAGCCGGATGTGTGCGGTCCGATTGGCTGGCTCGTTCAAAACTTCGCAGTCACATGGGACTAACAGGTATCTATTCGTTATCGCTGCCTATGCACCGACAAACTGTAGCGATGACTCGGTAAAAGACGACTTCTGTCGCCAACTGAACGAACTCCTTCGCCACAGAAGTAGCTCGGACACTGTAGTGCTGGCTGGAGATCTGAACGCTCAAGTTGGAAAATTATCCGCAGATGAGCTGCATCTGGGCGGCCAACATAGTATAGGCTCTTGTAATGATAACGGTGAGCGGTTACTTCATTTGTGTGAAGATGCTCGCTTATTTCTTGCGAGCACTAATTTCCGACACAGCACCCGCCGGAGGGTGACTTGGCGCCCACTAGCCTCGAACTAGCTATGGACGCAAATCGATCACATTGCTATCAGTTACAGCTGGAGAGGCTGCATCCAGAACTGTCGCTCGATTTGGAGCACAGGTGTTGACACCGATCATGCACTTGTATGTGCTGACCTGCGGATGCGCTTTGGCGGACGCCCGCGACGATGTTGTGAGCGCATTGACACCGGCAGACTGGTGAACCCAGCTGTTCTGAACGCCTATCAAATTACGCTATCATCCGAGTTGGATAAACGCTCACTGGATGCAATTGAAGCTCACTGGTCTCATATGCAACAGGCCTTACTAGCAGCAGGCAAATCCTCATGTGGTATGTCTACTCGCCAACATGAACATTGGGTCTCTTCACAGTCTCTGGAACTTATAGATGCTCGCCGACAAATTCCGGCTGGAAGCGACCACAATGAAACTCGCAAAGAGCTCCGGGCAAAACTCCGTGCTAGGCTGAAGAGAGACCGCGAGTCCTGGTGGTCTCGTCGTGCAACAGCGATGGAAATGGCCGCTGCCGTTGGTAAACATCGTGAGTTATTCCGTCTGATACGGGAAACGGGCAGCAGGAGATCTGGTGTTAGTGAAACTATACGTGACGAGGGTGGACAGCCTATCCACAACTTATCAAAACGCCTGGAACGTCGGGTTGAGCACTTTAAAAGGCAATTTAATCGATGGGAATTGTTAGATTTCTCGCCGACCAGTGGTCGCCCTGCTCCGTGGGCTGTTCCTTTGGATCCACCCTTTCGCTCAGAAGTCGAACGTGAGATCAAACTGTTGAAGTTAAATAAAGCCGCGGGACCTGATGACCTTCCTCCAGCTGTTTTCAAATTCGGGGGACCTGCTGTTGTGGATGATTTACACGAGTTACTAGTGAGACTGTGGGAGCAGGAAACTGTCCCAACCGATTGGAGCCGCTCCATCATAGTCCCAATTTTCAAAGGAGGCTCACGATCGGAATGCGGCAGCCATAGAGGAATCAGGCTGATCTCCATCGCCTACATTGCTTGCCTCTGTCATCCTTCACAGACTGACTGGCACTCGTGAAAGCCAGATTCGCGAAGAGCAAGCTGGATTTCGTCGAGGTCGTGGCTGCATTGACCACATTTTCATCTTGCGTCAGTTGTTGGAGCACCGTCACACATATTGGCAGTCTACCGTAGTCGTGTTCCTCGACATCAAGGGTGCCTTCGATTCGGTTGATCGATGCGCCCTTTGGAACTTTCTACTCAGGAAAGGTGTACCCGAGAAATATGTAAATATTATCCAAGTATTATATTTGCGTAGCTCGGGAAGAGTGAGGGCTTACGGCAGGTTGTCGTCGCCCTTTAATATCTCCAGCGGCGTGAGACAAGGATGCCCGCTGTCACCTTTCCTCTTCAACTTCACTGTTGACGAAGTCATGGAAATTGCGTTCACAGGACACGACTTAGAAGGTGTGGAGCTACTCCCAGGAGAACGACTTCTTGATTTAGAGTATGCTGATGATATTGCCCTGATCTGTGACAGCTCACAAACGCGCCAAGCGGCACTGGACAGATTAGCACTGGCTGTCAACCACTTCGCGCCCTCGAAGTCCAAAGCCTACCTCCAAGCTTGGCCTGGACCGCCTCCTACGCTGACCCTTGGTGGGGATCAGCTAGAAGTCGTTCAAAAATTCAACTACCTGGGAAGTTTTATCAGCGCCCGTGGGATTGAAGATGAGATCACGAATCGTATAGCAAAAGCTCGGGGCGCTTTTGCTAACCTTCGCCACTTATGGTGCCGGCGCGACATCACTCTCACCCTGAAGGGTAGAGTGTACAATGCAGCTGTACGTTCGACCCTACTGTACGGTTGTGAAACCTAGCCGCTTAAAGCAGCGTACCTGAAGAGGCTAGTCACGTTCGACCACCGGTGCCTTCGTAATTTAGCTCACATTTGGTGGGAACACCACGTGAGCAACGAGCGTGTTCGACGCCTTGTTTATGGCACAGGAAAAGGAACTGAATCGCTCAGCACCGTTATTTCACACATCAGACTCCGATGGCTCGGCCACGTGTTACGCATGCCAGCCCACCGACTCCCGCGACGTGCGTTGTTTGCGCGCCGGGGGTGTGGATGGAAGAAGAGGAGGAGTGGCCAAGCGATGACTTGGTCGAGAGGAATGAAGTCCATCACTTCTGAGCTGGCCTCGGTTGGAGCGTCTCGGCTCTCTGGTTGGGGTCCGAAAGACGATGAACACGTTTGGCTAGATACACTTGTTGATATGGCTAGGAGCCGACCTCAGTGGCGTTCGTGCTGTGAGTTTCTTTGTCCCACCCCATCCCTCTTAGC